AAATGTTTACTAGAACGGGTATACAATAATATATTTTATACACATTTTTGTAAGCTGGATTTTGAAAATTATTTTTTATATTCAATAGGAATAATTAGTAATTAGAATTGTACATTAAAATAAACATCTAATTAGTAAGAATTTCACTTTAAAAATTGACCTACAGATATACATCAACAACTGTCTAGTCTCAATACTGTAGATCAAATAACGGGAAAGGATAAGCAAAGAGGAACTCACTGTGGCTGGCAACGAGCTAACCAATAACCCATCGCCTAATAAATATGCAGTAGACGAAAGTTGAGATGTATTGAATTGAATATATACAAAGAAGACCATTTGGGGACATCATGCATCAGGCCAGGCTATGCTATCAAGTAGAACCTAACTGGGAAAAGAAGAGTTGGTCGTCTGTGAGTGACATAGAGGAGATGGTATGAGGAAGAAATGAAAGCTTGTGGGTAGTAGTAGGGCTAGATGGAAAAGACTGTACAGAAGAGAGTGAAATGGTGACACGCTGCTGAAGCCCTGTGTTCCACCAGGAGAGTCCAAAGAACAAATAATAATTGGAGAAAAACTACTTGTTATGAAACTTCAGAATATCATGATTTTGAAGATAGTAATCAGATTGCTATGTATTCTTGAATAGAAATCAGTCGATGAAAACGATTTACATTTAAAAAATTTGCTAAGTAAGTCATAGTGATGTTAGCTCTCGACAGTCGAACTTATCAACGACATGTTGAGATTATTTGAACTTATAAAGGAGGTTGAATTGTCCGAATCGCTTGAGTCCAGCAAAACTGGACATAAATATACAGGTGCACTATAAAATGGATTGATAGATTGAAAACTATTTACATCTAGGTGTATTAAACATTTTTATATTCTACACACCTAGTCAGTTTCATCACTATTCCAACTATTATGTCATTAGCATTTTTAAAGCTAACTAACTATCCAGGAAAATGTGCAAAACGCTCTGAGCACTTTTTTCAGCTAATACAGTTGATTGGAAAGGGTACTTGATTTTCGTTCCAATATCACATTCAGTGTCCTAAGTCAGTTCTGTGATGATGAAACTTTGCTTTTACCATGAAAAGGAGCTCGTAAAACCAATCAACTAGGAGAAATATCAGTATAAACTATATATAATTAAAGTACTTTGAAATATAGGCACACTGTCGTCTTGTCAATTGCATATGAACAACAATTACTCTAGTCATTTGCTTGGTTGAAGCTAGTGAAAGAATCTAGGAAGTGCGTTTCGTCTTATTCCGAAGTCAGTGAGTGATATTGTTCCCACTGGGACTCGAAGCTCTTACTCATCACTTAAAACGACAAGGTGTTATCTACTACGCCGTGGAGCCACGATAGCCACCTCTTGTACAACGGGTATTAGTTATTACTACATATTGACATACTTGTAATTCTCCGTTGATATACTGGATAGAATTGTTCAGTGGGTACGAGGTTCGAGTCTCAGTAGGAACAACATCACTCCTTGAGGTGCAGGTGCATCCAGTTGACGAGTCCCAAAAAGGATAAAATGCGCTTCCTGGATTCCTGTGCTAGCCCCAACCAACTAAATTACCATAATTAACATTCAGACAACATTGAGGCATTCGCAATAGAGGTCGAACAATTCGTTCCAATAAAACAACGGAGAATTGCAAGTACATCAATAAATAGTAACAACAATTATTCTTATCACAAAAATCTGAGTAATTTTTGTAGTGTTGTGTTCTCTGAGCTGGATGGTTTTTTCATGAAGCTCTCATTGTCATTCTAGACAAAACCATCACGACAAACTTCAGAAAGAAGTAGGCGACAAAGTTTGCTGCACAATTTAATAAGAAGATTGTCCTGATGAACGTGTGTGTGATTGGCGGATTCAGCTAAGGTCTTGTCATTACCTCCAAGTTTATTTTCATTGGTTGTCCTGATGACCGGAAATTTCACCTTCTCGGCGTTTCTTATTGGTCAGTAGATTGATTAGAGACTGCCCTAAATACCAAGCTCTGAAAATTCTCTAGCATTGTTTATATTTCCTCCATCTAGGATTTTCTCATTTTCTCAGTCAAACTCATGTCCACAATTCCCCATATGCATCGATATGAGTGAAGATATGTCATGACGCTTCCCTACTAGTTGATGATCATGTAGACGCATGTGAAGAGGGTGACCAGTCTATCGGAAGTAGCGTTTTTCATAGTTTCTGTAGTTTATTTTGTAGATTATGTTTGATTTATCTTCCTTCGCCATTGTGTATTTTGGCCTGCATATCAAAAGATGGAAGGATTTTGTGAGCATGTAAGAAACAGTGATACTAAAAGGATTCGAACTAAGTAAGCATCTTTTGCTGAAGTTACATGGATAGCTGTTTTTCTAAACAGTAGTCCCTAAATAGTTTTCATCATTTCTTCACAGGGTTAATGTAGTACAATGTGCTTTCGCTCGAAGGAAGACAAAACAAACATTGCACACAAAATAAACTGTAGAAACTGTGAAAAACGCTACTTCGGATAGACTGGTCACCCTCTTCATATGCGTCTACATGATCATCAACTAGTAGGGAAGCGTCATGACATATCTTCACTCATGTCGATGCATATGGGGAATTGTGGACATGAGTTTGACTGAGAAAATGAGAAAATCCTAGGTGGAGGAAATATAAAGTATGTGAGGGAATTTTTACAGACTTCTTATTTATGTCAGCCAGCAGTGAACAGATATTGACATTGACTCAATCTATTGACCAATAAGAAACGCCAAGAAGGTCAAATTTCCAGTCATCAGAACAACCAATCAAAATAAACTTGGAGGTAATGCCAAGACCTTGGCAGAATCAGCCAATCACACGCAAGATCATCAGAATAAGCTACTTCTTTCTGAAGTTTGTAGTGATGATATTATCTTGGATGGCAATGAACGGTTCACGATTAAACCATCCAGTTCAGAGAACACAACGCTATCAATTATCTTTCTGGACTGCAAATATTGCATTTCATTTGAGTAATTTCACTTTACGTTTCTGTAAGAAAATGACATCTGAATTGGAAAATATTTTAGAATAATAGATGTAGGAAGGAAGAAATACTTCCTCTCAATTAGTTCCCGGACCTCAGCTCTACACTAATATTTAGGTCTTATACCTAATAACACTATGTCACTGAGTATTAGTGGGTTAATTAAATGGAATAATTATAAATTTAACGCAACTGGTGATGATAGTGATAACTAGAGATGGGAGACAGAAAATGCTGAATACAATAACTGTTAGCTGGTTGAAGGTAATCGACAGGAAATCTCGAACCTAGGTTTCATGCTTGTTGGCACTCAGTGGCAAGGTGTGACTGCAATCTCAACGGAACTGATGTCCTGCCTGAGATTAGAACACGCGTCACTAAGTTTTGTAGTCAACGACTTTACCACTGAGCTATTCTATCGACGATCGGTCGCCTTTAGGATTGAGTTACAAATATTGATTTGTCATGGGAGGGAAACCAACAGAGTAACTGCACAATATATCTGTAGAAGTCTAAATTACATGAAAGCAGATTGAGAATCCTGCAGCTACGTAAGTCATTATATAATGTAAAGTAACTGAGGCGAATCGATACATGTTGACTGTTAGAATGGCTTGACAATAAGAGGATGGAAAAATTAGGAGATAGAAAGTCTATCTTTGTACCTTTCAGCTATACTTGATCTATTGTAGAATATGGAGCATAATTTTGAAGCTTTAACTGCTCTCTGAAAAGTTCTAACACGTTACGTTATAATTGAACTAAAGTTTCAAGAAAACAAAATTCTCGGGATTATAATCACATTTGTTCTCACCTTCCTCTCCTTGATGCATTTGGTCATGTATTCAGTGAAATATCTATTCCTAATTATTTGGTTCAGCTCACTGTAAAACCCGTCTTTACTGGTGTCAATAGAGTGAATGACTTCCAGGATGAAGTAAGTACTTTGCCAGATTTTGTGTGAGTATTAGGATTACAGAGATATAGAAATCGATGTACTGACCGGTAGATGTGGTGGTTGGAGGGAAGTTATTAAGTCCATCAAGAATTGTATTTTTATTATCTTGGTTACGGAGAAGCGTAAGTGTATCATTTATGCAACGACTGCGTATACCTCTTACTGACTATTAAAAATATTATAAACATAATCCTTTAATATTGACCCTAATGACTAGCAGAGGAGTTCAGGATGGGCGCTATGTCCTACTTAGGACTCGTCAGATGGATATACCTGCACCCCCAAGGCTGGAACCCAGTACCCTTCGCTTTAAATGCCAGAGCGTTACCCACTAGGTCACTGGGGCATGATAGCCACCTCATGTGCAACGGGTGTCGATTGTTGTAATTATACTTGTAATTTCCTTCTGCTATACACGGCCGAACTGCCCAAGGTCACCACCATGCCCCAGTGGCTTAGTAGACAGCGCTTTGGCGCTTGGAGCGAAGGGTATTGGGTTCGAGTGTCGCCCCCACTGGGTGATATATGTCAGGTACATACAGCTGATGAGTAAGTCAGGTATAGGACGGAAAGCTCATCCTTTGTTCCACTTCAAGTCATTTAGATCAGTATAACATCAAGAATATTCGGTAGTACCGGGGCATCCACATAGAGGCTCATCTACCGACAGAGAACTGTCATTTTAGCCTTGGATAGTAATGGGAAATTACAAGTACCATTGCAACTACTGTTATGAATAGCTTGAATTCGTGATTGTTTTACTCTCACTGACTGTCATGATGGTATGGTCATGTAAACTGTGTCAGCTTAGACCTTTACATTATTGGGCTATTTCATAAGTTGTTCATGTCAGCAAATCTTATTTCTACCTAATCTTGGTTAGTCTTGAAGGTTTTTTCTACACATATGGTGCTAAGTATTTAAACATATAGAATTAAAAAACACATTTACTATACTACTGTATAGTAGTTAGTAGTACTTAATGAAACATTGTTATTTTTCGATTATTTTAGGTAGTGAAACTCAATTACTTCGTTTAGACATTGTGAATGGATTACTGAGAATATTTCTTCATTTACCAATAAGTGAAGTTGATGTATCAATCAATTCAATAGGAGAAAATGATGAAGGTATACCATCTCATATTCGACGAAAAAGTAAACTTTCAAGTTTATTTCAATTAGACACAATTATTCAATCACATCTAGATCCAATATCACGATTAGATGATAACCAATGGCATTATATAATAGTGGAAAGAACAAACTCCATGGTAAGTAAGTTTTATAGAGTGTTAATTTGGTAAGCTTTTAGGAAATAATATGAATGTATAGTTAGTTTTACTTCTGTAACTAAAGAACCAGGCAAAAAATAGTTTAAATCCTCGAGAAGGAATCAATCCCCTTTGTTTATAACAATAATCGGCATGTTAGACGTTACTTACTTATCACTATCCGTCTCTCTACCTCAACTTCATCTACTTTGAAAAGGCCTTTGATAGAGGCGTCAACCGAGAAGCAATTTGGCAGGCAGCTGCTTCAACACTACGGAGTGTCACTAGTTTTATCAATCTCATTCAACAATTATATGAAAAGGCCACGTGCCAAGCAATCTACAAAGGAAACCTACTCACTGACTCCTTCCAAGTGAAGTGAAGTGAAGACAGGAGTAAGACAAGGCTGCCGCCTTCTATCACCAATCATCTTCCTGATTGTGGTGAACTGGATCATGCATCAAACAGTGAGGAGCGAGAAGAGGGGGATTAGCTGGCTGGACAGGGGAAAAGAATCTAGAAGATTTGGATTTCGCCAACGATGACTTGTGTCTAATGTCTCACAAACTCGAAGAATTACAGGCAAAATCAGCAAGTTAACGGAAGAGGCGGCGAAGACAGGACTTCAAGTGAGTGTAGAGAAGACAGAGATGATGATGATACCCAAACAACGACAACACCACCACCAACAACAACAACACCAATCACCATCAACGAAGGAAATCTAAAGGAAGTAGCCTCTTTCACCTATCTAGGAAGCATCGTTTCGACTACAGGTGGCACAGACGACGACGTCAAAACTAGGATCGGAAAAGCAAGAGAAGCTTTCATTAACTTGAACCCAGTGTGGAGATATGCTTCACTGCACTCAGCATAAAGCGTGAACAACATCCGGATTTTCAACACTAATGTCGATCAAGTAAGTTAGTGCTTCTATATGCTTCACAAACTTGACGTGTTACGAAAAGCATTTCCAACAAACTACAGGCATTCATCAACAACTGCCACCTACGCTGGTTCGATACTGAAGCTCAGATGATAAGGTGAGAAAGAATAAGCAACAAGGAACTCTGGCCTGCTAACGAACCAACTAAGAACCTATCACTCAACAAATATGCACTGGAAGGAAGTGGAGATGGATTGGGCATGCACTGAGAAGGCTGGCTGAGGACATCAGGCATCAGGCCGGGTCAGGCCAGGCCAGGCACTCGAGAGAGAGGACGAGTTGGGAGTCCGAGTTGAGGGTGACATGAAGGAGATCATGTGAGGAAGAAGTGAGAGCTTGTGGGCAGTCGTGGTGCCAGGTTGGAAAGATTGGAGAGAAGAGAGTGGAATATAGACGTGCTACTGAATCCCTATGTTCCACTAGGAACCCAAGAAACAAATGAATATATATATACATATATCACTATCCGTGATTAGTAACCTCAAAAGATTATGCTACATAACTGTGTTGAGGTACTTAATTTGTCAGATAAATTGTTATATTGATTCCGTGGATTACATTAACACCTGAGATTAGGTAATAAGGAATTGATCACCATTTGATGATAAATTATTCGGAAGATAAAATGAACATTAGGTTTGTTTAAAACATATTCATATTTATATCCAATAGATAAACTGATTTACCAGTTCATATTGAAACGTACCATTGTTGATTCCTTTAACTGGCTATTTGAATAGTTACAGTAATAATAATAATAATAATAATAATAATAATAATAATAATAATAATAATAATAATAATAGTAATTATAATGGTTTTATTCTAGAAGATATTTTGAGAATACTCTACAGAATTTTCAGCATGCTATATTGCATCAGTTGAACAGAAACAGTGTACATGTTACTTACTTACTTGTCCCTTGGGTTCCTAGTGGAACATAAGGATTCAGTAGCACGTCTATATTCCACTCTCTTCTCTCCAATCTTTCCAACCTGGCACCACGACTGCCCACAAGCTCTCACTTCTTCCTCACATGATCTCCTTCATGTCACCCTCAACTCGGACTCCCAACTCGTCCTCTCTCTCGAGTGCCTGGCCTGGCCTGACCCGGCCTGATGCCTGATGTCCTCAGCCAGCCTTCTCAGTGCATGCCCAATCCATCTCCACTTCCTTCCAGTGCATATTTGTTGAGTGATAGGTTCTTAGTTGGTTCGTTAGCAGGCCAGAGTTCCTTGTTGCTTATTCTTTCTCACCTTATCATCTGAGCTTCAGTAAAGAGCATAGGCAGTTGTTGATGAGTTTTGTACACGTATATATGGCAAAATGAAATAAACAGAAATTACACGAAGAAAGGATAAAGATATCCAGTCTATCTACAACTTTCTTCAAAATGTACAGTCGATTTAGGTAGGCAATCACATTACCAATTAGATTCATAATACATAAATATTAATATGCTGTATACTCTTCACTTACTTTTCTTTCAAAAACAGTTGATTAATTAGTTGGTTCATTTCTAATACTTTCTTCATCACCCAGTAGACTAACTAAATACGGTATTGTAAAGTTTTTATATTTTGTAGTAAGTGCATAGTCTTACGTACTTTAACTTTGTCTTTCCAGATGACCGACACATGGAGAGCTTTGAGTGAAGAGGATGTTGGTCATCTGATAGAATAGCTCTAGCATGGTGTTTACAGGAGTTGATATGTTTGTCTATAATAGTTTTAACTAGAAGGTTTAGAGGTACACCACTAGTTCTTCTGATAATCTTCAAAGTTCTACGCAACATAGCATAGTCTTTTTTCACCAACCTGGGGAATAATAAAGGAGAACAATAGAGAAGAACAGATAAGATGCAGGAGTTTATGTGAGGAGCAGGAAAGGTTCGAAGAAGAACACACACCGAGATAAATCACACCCGTAACATCCCCTAGTCCTCAACTATCAAAATAACACAAATCGTGAGAACTAAGCAGTTTACATAGGTTACGTTGATGTCTAAAACTAAATTCAGACATTTTGAAGAATCGAGCATAAGAACATTTACGGAGGACCTTCATCTAACAATGGATAAGAAATCATTTAGTTGTGAACAATCTGTTGAACAGCAGACAGGTGTGAAAACTGTTGCGTCATCAGCATATCTGATGAAGTCGATGCCAGCTGAACATTGTAGGTCATACAGAAAGAATGGGAAAAGACATGGGGAAAGGATGGCTCCTTGGGGAACTCCAGTCACAGTAACTAATGAGGTGGACCGCTGCCCTCTATGAACAGTGTACTGTTTCCTTTCAGAGAAATAGGAATGCAGTCAGCTGATTATTCAGAACTCAGTATTAGTCTTGTGTACCATGTCCAGTAAAAGAGATCTAGGGACAAAATCGAATGGCGAAGTATATATAGTCTAGAAAGACATACATGACAGTATAAGGTAGGATGACCGATACAATCTGGAAGTTTATGATATCATGGTACTATTTCACTTTGGACGAAAATGCTAATTATGTTCGATGTGTCTTTCTGGGTTGTACGTCTAGCTTCGATTCTGTCCCTAGGCTCTTTTTAATTGAACAAGCTTTTAAGGATACAGACTGTCTGTACTTTATGTTTCTGAGTGGAAGTGGCTGACATCGGATATACTTCAAAATGTCATTTTCTTCTCTTAATTTTGTGTAACTTTTCTGCCTCATCCTTATTATTATTATATTATTATTAGTCCCTTGGATTCCTAGTGGAACATAGGGATTCAGTAGCACGTCTCCAGTGACCTCTGTTCTCTGAGATCTTTTGAACCTGGTTCCACAACAGCCCACAAGCTCTCATTTCCTCCTCACACGATCTCCTCCACGTCACCCTCACCTCGGACACCCAACTCGTCGCTTCCCATGGGGATTCCCCTCGAGGGCCTGGTCTGGCCTGACGCATGATGTTCCCAGTCGGCCTTCTCAGTGTATACGCAATCCATCTCCACTTCCTTCCAGTGCATATTTGTTGAGTGATAGGTTCTTGGTTGGTTCGTTCCCAGAGCTCCTTGTTGCTTATTCTTATTGTTCTGGCCATCTGATCTTCAGTAGCGAGCCAGCGTAAGCAGTTGTTGATGAATGTCTCATGAATGCCTCATCCTTAGAGTATCTATATTGATTACCTTCTCCTTTACATACTGTTTCAGCTGGTTAATTTCTTATCTGAAATGGATTGTCGGTCTTCTTTCGATAGCTTAACACCTAAATCGTTAAAATATCGGGTAGGTGACTTCAGCTAAGGGTATGTGAATATAACTACTACAATTCGATACACTCCTACAAATCTTGTTTTGTTAATCACTCTGTAGAACAGAACGTATCAAGTGTGACCCACTCTGGTCTATGCCTTTCTTAGTCCTCCCATAATATACTGATGTTGAGGCAACTTCTTACCTTCAACCTTTAATACAAGGAAGCTGCATTCTTCTGCTGGAAATAAGGCATTACGCGGGATTTCTAAGGGTGACTGTAGACCTTGTAGTATACTATCAACTCTGTTGACACACGCAGTTATCAAAGGACAGCCAGCTGTAATTATTTTGTCAGGTAATAAGCTTCCGTTTCATTCACTCGTTTCGCCTTGTCTGTCTCTAAGAAAAACAAGAAAATGTAACAGAATTTATGCATGTCCAATTTCATAAAAGGACCCAACTGTATATGAAAAAAAATGTGTTGGAAAAGGTCTTATTGGTCAACCTTATCATAGTGGATAAGTATCATGATCCTGTTGTCATTTAGGCACTGAATGATCCGATTGTTTTTAATATTATTTAGTTTAAGGTTTATAGAGATTTTACTTATTTCAAGATAGTATTCATTCGAGGAGCATTAGACAACTGTTTCGTTGTAATGTGACAGTCTTCAGTAGCACACTCACAGAACCCCCCACCAAGGATCGAACCTGATCTCCTGGCGAATGAATTAACCATTCAGGTACTAGATCGGAGTTGAACGGTCCATATTTTTCTACTTTTGTCAACTCGTAATACAGCACGATTATCCACTGAGGTTTCCAGTTGGTATCC